AAAGGGCTAGGGGCAATTTCAAATTTTTGTGGCCAAAAAAAGAATTTGGTAGCCAAATTTAGCCACCAAAGGGCTAAAACGGCAACACTGGCAATGAGGCGGGGCACGAGAAGTTTGGCTTGCTCGGCAAACGAGCGAGCGCCGCTGCCCCGCTCGCAGTGACGAGGCGAGTAGCTATCTGCATACTCGCTCGGCTAGGTAAGACGAGTGAGCGACGAGTGAGCGCTCCGATTATGTACGAAAATATGTTAACATATGTATGTATTAGAGTGGTTCAAAAATTTTTTTTTTTGGGAATTTATAAACGCTACCTCAAATTATTGTTAGTTGTGATAAAAAAAAGAGAAGCGTGTTTTTTCATTAAAAAAAAAAAGTTTTCTTAGAGGTCGCGCTGGTCGGTTTTTTTATAAAAACGCTGGTGTTCTCAATTTTTTTATTTTCATGATATGTTATAATGCAGCTAAAAATGTGGTTTTTACATATAATTACTCTGGTATTATTGGGGAACATTCCCTTAATTACACACCCGACTTGGACAATTAGAATGGGCCTAGCTCCCGAAAATATGCTCTCGAAAAGACACTTGCAAAATTAAAACGTTGACGATTTACGCATTGTCATGGGTTGGGACTTGTTACCAGGGGGTTTTTGGGGTTGCTAATTAGGGATCTGAAGTCAGTGCTTCGAAATTCAAAATGGCGGATCCTAAATAGCGGTCCAGTTTTTTTTAAATGATTGGATTTGTTCGAAACACGGCACTCGAGAGTTTTCGTGGTCGCCGATTACGAATATGAAGTCAATTTTTTTTAATTCAAAATGGCGGAGCCAATATGGCGATCAAATTAAAAAAAAGTACTAAAATTAAAACATTGATACTGAACGTTTTAAACATTGTCAAGGGTTAAAACACGTTTCCAGTGGGTTTCTGGGGTTGCTGATTAAGAACATGATGACAGATTTTCAATCTGATCGCCATATTAGATCCGCCATTTTGAATTAAAAAAAATTGACCTCAGATTCGTAATCGGCGACCCCAGAAACTCTCGAGTGCCGGGTTTCGAACAGATCCAATCATTTTTTTTTAATGGACCGCCATTTTGAATTTCGAAAAACTGACTTCAGATTCCTAATTAGCAACCCCAGAAACCCCCTGGTAACAAGTTCCAATCCATGACAATGCGTAAATCGTTCAGAATCAGCGTTTTAATTTTACTAGTGTCTTTTCGAGAGCATATTTTCGGGAACTAGGCCCATTCTAATTGTCCAAGACAAGTGTGTAATTAAGGGAAAGTTCCCCAATAATACCAGAGTAATTATATGTAGAAACCACTTTTTTAGCTGCATTTTAACATATCAAGAAAATAAAAAAATTGAGAACGCAGCGTTTCCATAAAAAACCGACCTCTAAGAAAACTTTTTTTTTCAAAATAAAGAAATACGTGTCTCTTTTTTTATCACAAATAACAATATTATGATGTAGCGTTTATGAATTTCCAAAAAGAGTGTTTTTGTGAACCACTCTAGTATGTATGTTAATACACTGCCGGAGCGAAGTATTAGCACAGCAAATTTTTCACAATATTTGCAACAATTTTCATTCTGATATTTTTCCGCTAATTTCATATAAAAATATAGTTCATTCTACAACAAAAACCACAAAAATAAAATAACCTAACCTAACCTAAACCTAAACTTTGTGCAAAACTCGCGAAAATTCAGCAAATTTTCTTGAAAATTTTCAACTTTTTAATTTGATTTTTTTGTATGCAGATTTGTAGCCCAATCAATTTTATTATAATAAAGTGCAAGTTTTAAGTAGCTAGGCATTGCCGTTGATTTTTGGCAATTTTTTTTTACGCAGTCTCTTCCATACAAAAATTTTTTTTCGAAAATACTTTATATGGAAAAAATGCAAAACACCTTCAACAAAAAAAAGTTCTCAAAAATCAACGCGATTTTTGACTAACTCCGAACTTGCATTTTATTACTGGAATTTAATGGGCTGCAAAACTGCATACTCAAAAAATTTCAAAAAATTTTATTAAAAAATTGAAAATTTTTATGAAAATTTGCTGAATTTCCGCGAGTTTTGCACGAAGTTCAGGAATTATATTTTTATGTTTTTTGTTGTTGAATGAACCATATTTTGATACAAAATTGGCGGAAAAATATTAGAATAAAAATTGTTGCATATATTGCGAAAAATTTGCTGTGCCAATACTTTGTTCCGGCAGTGTACATATTCATAGAAATAGATATGTGAATATTACATTAGGGCAGCATTTAAATCAACAATTCAAGTTTATTTACATACAAAAGCATAAATTATTTAATACAATATTTTTAGGAGTTATATATGTACATACATAACATGCATATTTATATATGTACGTATGTATGTACATATGCATGTATTTTGTCTTTACAGAGAAAATAAGTAAAAAGGATAGGAAATCGTTTGTGCTGCAGAAACAAAAACAACTAAGCACTTTTCAACACCCCAGAATAGTTTGCTATTTACGTGTGGCAGTTATGCTGTATACCTGAAAGAAATATATGTACATAATCCTTTGTGAACAAATTTATTTGTGGCCTGTTGTTCAAGGACATATGTATGTATGTATATGTAGACATCAGAAAATTTGCGTTAACAAAGAATAGAGGCCGGCTAACATACAACTTTGGCGTTGCGTTGGCGTTGAATTTCAATGCAGCCGTCAGCAAAGCCAAAATTTGGAAACTCGTAAGGCCAACACCAAGCAGAAAGTCGCGTGCGTCGGCCGTCAGCTGTTGCAAATAAATAAAATTATCTGAAATGTTTTTTCCTTTTAATCAAATGAGGGCAAGAAATATAATTTTTCATGCAATTATTGATATTAAATATTAATTTATCTTCTATTAATATGTTAATTTAGTGGCCAAAGCATTCTCTGCCAAGCTTCATTGTAGAAGGCATACTTTTACTTTATTATAATTATACTAAAATGTAATGTGCTATAAAAAGACCAAGCATTGCTTTATAAATTTGATTAAAAAGATTAAAATTTTCATAAAACTTTGTTGAAATATTCAAATTTTTAACACAGTATTAAACTTTCTCCAATAAATCCAATACATTTTTTCTGACCAAACAATCCGTTTGCCTTTCTTATCTGCTTGCCTCATTTGCCTCGCTCATTTACTCACCTCATTCGTCTGCTGCTGCAAATGAGGGCCTCATTTGCTTACTCGCTCACTGGCTGCTCAACGCGTGCGCCCGTACTTAACGAGTGTTCGTTTGCAACCAGTGATCGGACTTCTACCACATTGTGGTAGATCTGCCACTTTTTTGAGCATCTACCGCACAAGGTCTGAAATCAACCACATATTCGCGTTTTTGAGTAGTTTTATTTTTACTCGATATAATTTTTTTAATTTTAACAGCAAAAATTGTCCAACACTAAGCACTAACAACACGCAGAATGGGAGGATAAAATAAACATTAAAGTAGTAAATTTGCTCTATATTCAATTTTTCGACAGGAAACATGGTTTTATTGTGTTAAATTGCAAAATGTATGATTTATAAAAAAGAATTAATAGCGAAAATGTTAAAAAACGGCGATTTTTGTGAAAGTATTAGAAAATTTCAGTGCATCTAAAGTTTCTATAGCGTTGTTTACTTTTACTTGAGAATTGAGTAGCGGTTTCTGGAACGTGCCACATTTGTCCGCTACATCGTGATGTGATAAAAAGAAAAGCGGCCAGCACCAGTAAGGTTGCAGAAATCTTTCATAATATGTTCGAAAAATATCTTGATATGGAAGAACTGCTTTTTACACTGTCAAGGAAAAAAATGCCAAAGCTCAACGCAATTTTTCTTGCACTTTATTAAACTAAAATTACATTTTTTTAGAGTATAATTAAAAAGTTTGCCATTTAGGTGAAACCTTGCAGATTTTTTTAAATTTTTGTACAAAGTTTGATCCAAAACCTGAGATTAACCATATTTTTTCCAGATTCTACCACACAATTTTTTTTTTTCAAGTCCGATCACTGTTTGCAACCAGCCTCGCCTGTTGCTCGTGAGTTGCGCAAGCTCAGAGCAAACTAACGAGCGAGCAAGGGGATAAAATGAGGCAAATCCGAACCCTGGTTTCGATACTTTTTCTTTGATCGAATCGGAGCCCAGTAAGAACCATGTGTGTTAACTAATGCGTTATATACGCCTAGTACTACAAACATCATTTTACATAGGGCTCCTGAATAAATCTAACGCATAATCGTTTCACGTGTGAGCAGTTTTCTGCTTCTATTACATGGAATTCGCTATTATATTATCCTATATGTAGTTGTCTCTTTTCAATCAAATATTATTATGCGATTAATAACGGGTTATATAAAGAATGGTATATGGATATCGCTAATATGCAAATGTGTTGGTTGTTATTTACAATTTTGTAAGTGTATTGGAGAATGCGTTAGGTTGGTTCTGCTGGGAAGTATCAAATATTTGTACTTGTGCGTGCTAGTATCGAAACGTTCCTACAGAGGCAACAATAGCAACAAATTATATATTTTTGAAATCTAGAAGTGAAGACGAACCGATTGGTACCAAATTTACTATGTTCAGATCGAAGGCTTTTTCGGTATTTATCCAAGCCTTTTATTTTTATCGGAAAAAATAAATGTCACATTTAACCGTTTATATTGGACTTTTTTCAAAAAGTTAGGAAATGAAAGGAATGGAGGATTTAGGTAGAGAATGTCCTGAGGATTTCAAGAATTAAAAAAAAATCTTGTCTACAACAATATTTTGTTCTTGACTTCTTTATTTTTGAGAAAATGTGGTAACTGTTATTTTGAGTCCCTGCTTTTAAGTATGGGTCTATGTGTTTTAAAACTTTTGTTCTTTGGGAGAGATCTTGAAGTCATAGTATCAAAAACCAAATATGATAGAACTAAATATACATATATTTTATTCATAGAATCAATTCGTCATTGTTGTCAATTTATTTTTAGAATGTCCGCTTAGGAATTTATTGCGACCACTGTAATGGACATGTAATAACACCAGTTCAAATGGAATGTACTAAATGTGGAAAAAATTTTAACAATCTGCAGTTAAAATATCGAACGCAGATGACGATCTTGGAGAACGCAATAAGAAGTTTAATGTATCCGGAAAGTATGTATACATTTTTAAAAATTTAATAGCTCATAGCCCGATGAAGCGAATAAAGGTGGCGCATTCCGCAAACAGCTACTTTGGTTTAGCCGATTTTGACAAAGTAATCATTATTTTTAATCGAGCTTTGAGCGAAAAAATAAAACTCAAATATTAATTATTTTAAATCTTTATTGATTAAACTCGAAAAGTAAATTATAATAATAATAATAATAATAGAATGGCGCTTACACATATGTTAGTGTTTGGCCGAGCTTCTCCTCCGACTTGTGGCTCGCGACTTGATGTTGTCACACAAAGCGGAAGGACCTAGAGTTTTACGCTGACTCCGAACGGTAATGGTATTTTTATGAGAAGCTGTTTTTCATGGCAGAAATACACTCGGAAGTTTGCCATTGCCTGCCGAGGGACGACCGCTGTTAAGAAAACCCAGGTGCTGATGAGTGGAAACGCGCACTGCTTACCACTACATCACAGCGGCCGACAGCGAAAAGTAAAACTCAATGTAAATTACAGTAGGACGTACGCATACAAATATGTACTTGAGTACTTATATTAAAATTATTTTACTACGATTACAACTTGTTAATTTTTTTGGTTAAAATTAAAAAAAAACAATGATTTTCTGTCCCTGATATTTACTCGAAGTTTACTCAAACAGACGCCAGATTCGGATTCAGCCGGTCGAAATACATGTAGCTATGTAGGAGGGTCTGGTTATAAGTACATATCACTTTTTTTTCGTGCCGGTGCACTCGAAAAAGTGGTCGGTGTATTTAACCTGACCCAACTACCGACATGTACATATTTCGAATTGCTGAATATGAATGTAAGGCCCTTTTGACTCGCATACCTCCAACAGCACACACCACTTCTTTTTTTGTGTGCCGGTGTAATTGACTACTCTGACATTTTCTTTTATCCTCCTATTCGGCGTCGCTTACTTTTAATTCACCACTGTCATCGTAATCTTTTGTTCTATCATTCTTGAGCTCATAGCGAAACTTAACAGGTCTATAGTCTCAATTTTTATTTCGAAAGAATACACGTACGTACATACAGTAAGTCACGTAATTGATCAAATGACGGATTTTTCTTGATAAAATTTTTACGATATTTAAAAAAAAAACCCTATTTTATACCATAACTAAAACCATGTAAATCAAAATTTCAAACTTGTACATAATTTAGGAAAATCCAACAAATTTTCAACTTTTTAACCATAATGTTTAGATCTTTTTTTTTGTGATTTAATATCCCAATTAATTTTATTTAGTACAATAAAGTGCAAGTTGCAAGTAGCTCATACTTACCGTTGATTTTTTGAAATTTTGGTCTTGGAAAATTTTTCCACATCACGCATATGGGAAAATCTAAAAACAGGTAACCTTTGTGTTATTTACCTTTATTTTCATTGTTGTAAACTATATCAAGCTGGTTGCTTATAAGTATAGTTCATACAAGTATAGTTAGTGTTACCACTTTTCTAAAAACTCATTTACGTACACAAAAGATTGTAGCAACACAAAATTTTAAAGAAAAATTTTGGAAACGATTTTATTGCTGTTTATTAGTCGATATCCAAACACATTTTTGACGTAAAAACTTCAGCATATTTATTTGCGAATTAAGAAATATTTAAGTACATACATACATTCAAAGGTGAAATAATGCAATTGCTGCTAAATTACAAAAGTCTCGGCCTATGTAATCAATTCATTGATCTTGAGTAGTTTTCCTGAACGCGTATGTTCCATCTGATGCAATTTTTTCAGCATTTGAGGCTGCTTCTTTACGAATTCGAAAAATTCCGTACAAGTCATTTTAATGTTGTACCGAACAAACAAAAGATCTCGCAATGTCTCGATATTCAGTTGTGATTTCTCATCGCTCCAAATCTGATTGATCAAAGAAAATACGCGTTCAATACGCCCACTTTTAACGAGTCTACGATACGAATGAGTTTAATATACAAAGACTCAAATGAGTTAGTTGAATGAATTGATTCCCTAAAGTGAGTTGGAGTCATTGAGTCAACTCCTATAAATTTGCTGAGTTACCCACCGATAACGGACACAAGAAAAACACAAATAAAGTATTCAGCAGACAGCGTGTGTTGGGGATTTTATTGTCATTTTGACGATTTTGTAATGAGCTTCGGTACACGGTACATGGCTACAAATTTACGTACTGTACGTGTCATTTACGTACAATTGGTCACACTACGTACACTTGAAGCCTCGTGTAATCAATTTGTTGCATAACTTTTGAGTTGTAGAGGTTCTAATGCAAAAAAATATTAAAAACAGGTGCTTTTTTATGTAGGTAATTTTTTAGAAGGGAAAAATTAATTATGACATAACTTTTGAAGCGCACCATATACTGGTTTGAAATTTTATCGGCAATTAGTATTTATGTGTACACTTCATTTGTAGTAGGTAACTAAAGTGTGCCCTAAAAATTAACTAAATTGTCAGTAAATCAAAGTTTGTAACTCTACTTTTCACAATTTTCAAAATTTTTGGTTTATCGCGTATAGTTTTTGGGGCATTTCATTCTAAAAACCTTTTAAGTATGTATTGTATTCTACAAACAATTACGAATAATTGAATACCTTAGGAAGAGGTGTGCTCTCAGAATAAACCAGCTTTTACAGCCTTATTCTGTATCACGAACGAATCGTCTGCAGAGGAATGCTTCAAAAATTAGTCCGGCGGCATCATTTTAGCCGGTTTAAACGCAACCGAGACCATTGCAACGTATGTATGAGAAGCAAGACAAAGACTACCGATAGAATTTAAAATCGCAGTCTGAGAGCTTGTCGTCTGCAGACGAATCGTTCGTTTTGCCTATCGTTCGTGATACAGAATAAGGCCCTTAAAGATAAAATATTCTAAAAACATCTTAATTGAAGGCACTAATCGCAAACGTCAAGCTGTGAGGTTGTACTTTATTGTGCTCGGAATATGGCTTTCTACTTGCTAAGTTTATTGTGCTAATTCTGAGTTAAAAGTAGTGATAAAAAGTGCTTATGAGCATCATAGTGTGAAATAATTGAAGCTAAGTGAAAGTTATTGTGTTTTATATTTAACTAAATTTAATTAAATCTCAGTAGCATACATTCTAATCTTGCCGAATCATTTGTTGCTATCATTGTTGTTGTATCCTTTGTAGTTAACTGAATTCATTTTGTTTTTGCACATTTGTTCTACTCTTTTTGTTTACTTCTTCTAGTAATTCTTGTCACAGCAGTTTGCGTTGCGTTTATTAAATGTCATAATTACAGTGATACTCACACTGTTCGCTACATTTATTTAAAGCTTTTTACATCAGCTCCTTAATTGTTATAATTTATTTTGTTTGTCTTTTATTAACGAGTGTTATTACATAAATCTATCAATATGAAGTGCGATCTTGATACTTGCCAAATTAAAAGCGATTCTGAACGCTACTTAGAAGTTGATCTTTTCAAGCTATTTAGGCAAACCAGAAATGGCTTTACAGAAATAGGAAGAGGATTGTCGGTACTGACAGAAAATTTAAGCATTATGAAAATATGTTTAAATCATTCAAATGCTTAGATACCTTGCAATCTGTTAAGGATATCCGTGTGCCTAAACGTAAGCGACTTTATAGTCCATCTAAGGAAATTATTGCCGTTGCACATTATTATTATTATTATTATTAATTAATTTGTTTCAGTAGTACAGAGTAAGACTTATGTCTTTTAATAGTACTTCAACTATATATATATATATTATGTTTTACAATACTTATTTTACTATGCAAGTTTCTAAAATTTAAATTTTTACAAGTTTTCTCAAACAACAAATTTTATTAAACAACAAAATACAATATATGTAACTTAACAATAACAACGAGTATGGCATAATTAATAGAAAAGAAAAAAAAATATTAGAATAGAACAGAAATAGTGGAGAGAGATAGAGAAAAGTTTAATGCCCTTACACAATGCTATCAGTCATTTTTAAAATAATTGTAGATTTGTGTCCTGTAGTTGAATCTGTTTAACCCACTCTTTACGGTCTCAGGTAATGAGTTCCACATCAGAATAATCTTCCGACTGACTTAATTAATCTATCTTCTCCGTGTTCTCCAGCATCAGAATCCTCAGCCTCATAAGAGCGCGTAACGAAATCTGCTTCGGCTAATAACAAGCTTGAAGTATCCCCCATTGAAGTGGTGGCATCATCTTCAAAGGCTCCACCGCCTTCCCTATCCTCAACTACTAACGCAGTAACTCAACCCCTTCCGCCGGTAGTCCAGTCTGATACAAGCAAACTAGTTGTGGTTCCGCTAAAGAAGTCAATCAAAAATTACAACTGTCGACTAAAGCATCCGAAAATTTAATGTTAAATACGAAAGAAATATTGCTTCTTTTAAAATTGACGTAAATTTAGATAATTTTAATGCGCTGCTTAGTAGTTTTTTTTTTCCCCCCCGGAGCTTTCGTTCGTGAATTCGAATATAGGCCCAAAAAAGTAAAAAACTTAGCTAATATTCCCCGTCATAACACTGAATCAGAAAACTAATTACTAAATCTGCTTTAAGTATTTACAGTCGTGTCTCTATATAGTGAACGCCCGCTATAGTGAACACCTCGATATAGTGAACACCGAAATATTTACACGGATAACTCTAAATAGTGAACAATCGAAAGCCTCTAAATAGTGAACAAAATTTTAAAAGCAAAAGCAAGCTTAAATTGACAAAAAAAAACACCAAAATTAATCGGAAATTAAAACGGGTATTCCCCGAAATTTACCACCTTATGTTTATTATTGGAAAATCTGCTGCTATTTCATGCTACTGTTTATTTATTTCTTGTCGGGTTCCAGCCGCTTGTGAGTGGATGTACGCTGTTTTATGTGTTTTTAAAAGTTTTTGTGTGCTAATAAATTTAGTGTTATCATGCCTGCGAGGAAATTCCTTTCGTGGAAGCAACAATCTGAAATTGTTGAAAAAATCGGAAAAGGAGC